TTCCAATAGGTGGTTTCAGGGTTATGGCTTTCCTGTCATGGGTCATTTACTCAAGAAATAACTCCAACCAACCACTGTTTACCTTCCCATTGAGGTGGTACCTATTTATCTACTCACATTTTGCATGTTTTCAAACTGCTAGGTAGGCGAGAGCTGGGACAAGCGATGGGAGCTCACAACGTTGCGTGGATTCGATCTCACGACTGCAGGTCTTCTGGCCTTGCAACGCAGAGGCTTCAGCGGTTTAACCTGCAGCACCACCACGTGGCAAATTATCCCTTATGACTGGGATAAATCATGCATTCAGTTTGTCAACTAATGATGACAAGTGCAATTTTAAAAAAGCATTGAAAGCATAAGTACTCAGCTGAACAACGATAGATTATGCTAAATATACTCCTCATTTAATGCCCCATTCGGTCTGGTGTTGAGACATATACTCTAGCCAGGAAGGAGGTAATGTGATGAGTCCAGCCGTTCCTCAGCATCTATCATTTGCATCTTTAATCCCCTTTGCGATAGCAGAAGCTATGCCACTCAGAAGCCAAATGGCCTCTACCACTAGGTAGGCAGCCACTGCAATCTGCTCTGATGTATCCAGTAGCAGGCATCACTTGCCTTTTATAAGGACCAAATAAAATACATTCACTGTTCAGCTCATCATTCCTGATTTTTTTAAAGTGGGAGAAAGGTTGCAATCTATTACTAGCTCTGAACCATCCATTACAGTATAAATTAAAATGGATGCATAATAATGAACAATAATTACATGCTGCCAGGTTGATTCTAATTTGGACCACCTTTTTCAGGGTTTTCTAGGCATAGAGCACTCAGGCTTACCATGTATTTCATCTGGTGGGGGCATCCTGGGACTGCACTTTGCCCAAGATGAGAAAAATGCATATGTAAGCATATACCACCTGGATGTTCTGGAGATGCCAATTTTAGTTTTTATAAATAAAATGATGTTCTTTTGTACTGACACTTTGTGAAAACACAGTGAGGCAGTTTTCATAAAGTTTTAATATCAGAGAACATCGTTTTATGCATTTAAAATGTGGCATAATTGGCACGTGCCAGCTTTTCCAGAGGAGGCAACAACGTTAGTCTTTAACAACAAAAACAACACTGTGTCGTGGCTTTTTAAAGACACATTTATTATGGAAGAACCTTCTGTGTACTAGAGACTGATGAAGGTGTTCTCCATTGTCGATTTGTTAGTCTTTAAGACTGACTACATGATCAAATACTACAGGATATGTTGCAGGCATAAAATACTGTAGATGAATTCACTTTTTTTACTGATCAGATGATGCAAAGGCGAATTTGAAATAGTCTAGCCTTCTTTGTTCCTGATGTGGAGTTTTTCCTCTGTTGCTGGGGGCTTCTACTTTTTTTCAAGTCAGAACAATTCGAATGGACTTTCCCCTGTATTATCCATTGTTTACTTCTCCAAAAGGATGGAGTGGTGACTGTGGATGGTATTGTGGTAAAGTCTTAAGGCGGGTATGATATTTTGGACAGCAGAAATACCCACCCCCACGACCTTTCTCCCTAGCCGCCACAAAGTATTTTTAAAAGTTTTTAAGCAAATCACCGAGCTTAATACTAGATTACCTTATAATTACATTGATATACTAGTTTAGCACTAGATCACCTCTGCACAGACAAAAAAGAAAGAGAAATAAAGTCATATGAAATAGAAACAATTTTGATGAAATACAGCAGATTATGTGTCCACAGTATGTGTGTATTTCTACATGATGGAGAACTCTGGAAAAGTGTTCCTTTCCCCTAGCACCATGCAACCTGCACAGATCAAACTGCATCAGACTGAGGGGCTAGTGTGGACACAGGCACTGAAGCCATCTGCCATCTCTGGATCATTACCTAATCCAAAAAGAAACATAATATAGGCTGTGAATGAAGCTGAAGAAAACCTGAATCATTCCAATTTGGCTTGTCATTTAGTACCATCCGAAGAATTGATGCTTTTGAATTGTGGTGCTGGAGGAGGTTCTTGAAATTTTTGTGGACTGCAATGAGAACAAACTTACCAATTCTGAAGGAAATCAACCCTGGGTGCTCACTGGAGGGACAGAACGTGAAGCTGAGGCTCCAATGCAATTAATCAATCTTTATTTGTGGTCTCTGACCCATTAAGAGACTCCAATATGTACTTTGGCCATCTCATGAGAAGACTCCCTGGAAAAGACCCTGATGTTAGGAAAGTGCAAAGGCAAGAGGAGAAGTGGACGACAGAGGATGAAATGGTGGGACAGTGTCATCGAAGCTACCAACATGAATTTGACCCAAATCCAGGAGGCAGTGGAAGACAGGAGGGCCTGGTGTGCTCTAGTCCATGGGGTCACGAAGAGTCGGACACAACTTACCAACTAAACAACAAAAGGCTACAGCATAGTACATTCTGACATTAGTCTGTGCCCTATATTATCCAGCACTTAACAACTAAACAACAACAAAAGGCTTCAACATAGTACATTCTGACATTAGCCTGTGCCCTATATTATCCAGTAGGGGTCACTGCAAGAGCAAAATTCTTGCTTTCTGGTGAGAAAAGTTCTAGATTACAATTTAACTAAAGCAGGCCAGAAGAAGATTGCTATATACCTCATCCTTGCGTTTCAGATAGCCCAAACAGAAGTTTTGCTCTTCTTCATGAAGGAGAATTTGTGTCTGCCAGGAAATGAATGCCCTGTCTTTCAGTAAGCAATGTTTGCAGGGGCAAAGAGAACAATGCTGTGGCAAAATGCAAGAAACACTAGCCAGGCTTACAACTTTATTATCAAAAGAGAGCAATTCAGCACCATTGAGCTAGGACATTGGTTTAGCAAATTCAAATGCAAGAAGTTTGTCATATCCAAACATAATTCTAAATGCCAGCCTTCCTTGCCAGCAGAAATGCAAACTGGGTCTTTCCTTTGTTTGGCACAGGTCAACCCAGGCACAGCAAAGAAATGGCTTTGGGGAGTTTTTTTCCCCTGTTATTCCTGCATTTCTGCTAGCAGAACAAGTTACTTTGTTGTTTATTTTCAGATCAAACTACGAAAGAAGACAAAGCACTCCTTGTACTTTGGAATAACCTGATCAAGTCTGATCAAGTTTGTTCCAAATCCCTTTAGCTCCATTTCAGCTAGATAAATATATAAATAAATAAATAAACCTTAAGCATTCTGTCTGTGGCCTGTATCCAGTGATGTCACTGCACCTGCACACAACCCATTACACTAGCAGTTACACTTTTTCGGCTAGTGCAAGGGTGACCTCCAGTAATTTTTATTGTGCAAACAATTGTGCAAGGGGTTGTGCAAGCAATTACACAGTGCCAGTGCAATCCATCACAATTCCACTAGTCATAACAGTGCTACATTGGATTCTGGTGTGTCAGAATAATTGCCCCTCTAGCCATGTAGCACGGCCCTATAAATTCAGCAGTGTATCTGAGTCATCTCTGAGACACGTGCACAATAAAGGCATCTCTTTCTACAAGCTCATCTCCCTTGCTGAACTGAGCCATCTTATTTCAGATCATATCATATTGAACCTGAGTGACCTATGCATTTTTAGAATTGTATGACTAGACTGTAGAGAGCCAAGACATACTGCAAGAAAAAAACTTCTTGACAAAATGATCTCCTCTAGTTAATTTTATTCCTCTTATTATGAGTATGATGTAAAGTTTATGCCCAGTTCCCTGACTACTATATGCTCAGTATCTTCCACAATGGCTACTCCTCATCTTTATTGTTATCTTATGGAGCATCCCACATGTACCCTAACAACAGATGATACAAAAACATCTAATTTTAAAAACTATCCCTTGAAGTTATTCACTTTCATTTTTTCCACTGAAAGTCCAGGAACAACACAAATATTTTCCATCTTTAAAAAAACAGCTAATTTTATTATGGCGTACACTTTCCATGCACTAGATTAATGAAGAATACAGATACAGATACACAGCGAATGAGAGAGAGAGAGAGAGAGAGAGAGAGAGGTTGGCAACACACTGGATAGCCCAAGACATTTTGCTTCTTCAAGCATAGCCAGTCGTATCCTTTCCCCTCAATTAGAGCCAATCCTTGCCATCTGAGTGTGTTTTATGCCTTTATGTATGCTTTACTTACACATAAAACGGTACCAAATAAAATTGTTTCCATACAACTATCAACATGATAAAAATCCATGTGCATGAACTGTTGGATATTGTATGCACTGTGTACCATCCCACGAATGCTGTAAGCCTCACTGAGTTCAATTACATTGCTTAACAGATGCTTACCATAAAATACCACCCACTGAAATAAATTAAAATAAGTGTGTCTGGGTAGGCTATGAGCATTTTTTTCCCCACTGTAAGCAGTGCAGACATGAAAATTAGTGCACATTTACAGTTTATGTGCTCAAATACTAAAAAGAGAAAGAAATCTCTGCTTTATAGTCTATTTCCATGTATGTTCACTGACACCTTCCTGTCTTTGCTTGCCATACTACTGTGTTACCTTCTCACCACTGACTAACCGGGCATGTAAATGAGAGATACCTCTTGGAATGTGGGCAGAGGCTTTTGAAATCAGGCTGAGTGCCACAGGTTGACTTACCCTGTATTATATATTGACAAAACCAGCAATCTGAACTTTGATAACAGTTAAAGACCAGCCAATATCTCTCCACCCCAACCCAAATATGAATGTACCAAAAAAGAGCCATAGTTAAAATAAATGTCTGGCTACGGGAGCTAGAGGTTGGGAGTTCAATTCCCCATTGATCCTTCTCAACAAGGGTTGGATTCGGTGATCCATGGTCCCTTCCAGCTCTGCCATTTTAAGATGATGATGATGAAGATGATGATAGAAAGTAGTTGAACAGAGGCTGTTTTTTTTAAAGTGAGTCAGCCTGATATCACATTCCCCTACATGAAAAGACACCAAAAGTTCTTTAATACATCTCCCCCATAAGAGCATTAAACCCCATATCCCTTTGGTCATAATTTTTATTTAAATGTAAGCAGCTGAGAAACAGGAAGGGGAAGTTCTTATCGTTCCGCTTTGCAAAGAAGGACATACCTTGATTCAGATGGAGGCAGCAGTAGGAACGTTCTTTATGTACCCTTGGGGTCAGATACTGTACAGAGATTTTCAAGGCTGGCTTAGAACAGACTATTCAATTGGACACTGGAGGACATTGTTAAAGTGTTCAAGCTTGCCCTGTCCTCTCCTAGGATTTTACTGCAGTTTTCAAATTAAACCAAAAGACTGGCTCCTCTTCTTCATCCCTTGGCCATTCAAGGTAGGTTTTTGTATTCATCAGTTTCCTGAGTTTGCAAAACCTTTTGGGAAGCGTATGTGATGAGATTGGCTCCAGAAGGATCAAAATCACTGCATCATTATTCTCATCAAAAAGGCGGAAGTGAGAGAAATCCAGTTCGTATTTGCACCACTCGCTCTGCACAAAGTGCTCGGACAGCACAAACAGAGTCTTTGAACTCTTCTCCATGGAGTCTATGATATTGTCCACAATCCACTTGCCAGGTGTAAAATCCCGTTTATGAAGGCAGAGTCGGAAGGGAGGACTGGTGTGCTCCAGCTCGGGCACCATGACATTTTCCACCCATTCCGAGTCCCGCTCACTGTAGGAAACAAAGGCATCATAGCAGATTTCTTTACTGCAGACTCGTTGGGGCTTGCGCTTTGCCTGAAGCCAGGCCCAGATCATTTTCACATACCAGATGGCATGAAGCTTGTAGCACAGAAGAGCCACCACCAGGAAGACCACCAGCAGCGAGATACAGATTAAGGCCACCACGGAAGCAAAGTGACAGTCTGCCAATTGTAACTGGGCAACTCCCACTTCCTTCCCTCTGATGTACTCGGGACCATCACAGAGGTAGTCTCGGGGCCAACCCACGCAGAGTTGAGACACTCTGGCTTGAGAGCGAATGAAAGCGAGAAATTCACAGGTACAATGGAAACTGTTGTCACGCGCATCCAATGTCTCCAGGTTTGAAAAATCCTCAAGTTGCTGCTCAGAAAACCCAAACACTCTGTTTCCTTGAATGCTTATGACTCTGGCCCTTGGGATGAAGGAAGCGCCTGGCAGGGCTGCTAATTTATTGCTTTGGATGTAAAGCTCCTGAAGGTGAGGAAGGCTCAGCCTAAACTCTTGTAGGTTGTTACTGCTGACATCCAGCACTTCCAGACTTGGTGGGATGCAGCGGGTGATCCTGTCTATTTTAGAGCTGGAGAGGTTCAAATATCTCAGATGTTTTGGCCACACACAGGAGTCTGGCATTGCTTCAAAATTATTTTGACTGATATCCAAGCTGGAAAGATTTGCAAGACGAGCTGCACTTCCTGCTACTACTTGGATCTGTTTCAGAGAATTCTGACTGGCATTTAAAGTTTGTAATTTAGGCCAGGCACCCTCACACAATGAATGATCTAAAGCGGTATCCATCAACAAATTGACACTGAGATCAAGATACTGCAGTGAATGGAAACTTTGTGCAAATACGCAAGGTATCAGATAAACTTTTGCATTTTCAGCTGTTAGCTTTGTAATATTCTTTACAAGAGACATTGCAGTATAAAGATCAGAAAATGCATAAAATTGGTCATTTGACATATTTCTGATCGTTAACACTTGAATATTACTTGAAATGTGTGGCACACCATAGAATTCCCCAACACCCTGATGTCTGGAGTCTAGAATCTCCAGCTCATGCAGATGACCCATATTTGCCAGGAAACCTATAGTCTGAACAACACTGCTATCTGATAGTTCAACATTTCTGAGCACAAACTTCTGGACAGCTATGGAGATGGCCTGATCAGGGAAGTGAAAGTGTGCCATATTAAGCTGTTTCATATTTCGCAGCTCAAGACACACCACTGATTTTCTAATGTCGTATATAAACAGAGATAAAATGTCAGTGGAGAGACCACTCAAAATCAGGTAATTTAAGAGTCTGACTGATTTGAGACTTCCTTGCTCGTATTGTTTAAGATTTTGTCCCTCTATCTCCAGTTCCTCAAGAAAAGAAATTCCTTCCAAGTCTCGCTTTCGGAAAGTGGAGAAGCCATTGTCATTTCCCACAGAAAGAAACCTCAGCTCTTGGAGGCTGGAAAACAGTGGTCTTTCCCCAAGTTCCAAATACTGGTTCCCTTTAATGTTTAATTTCTTTAAGGAAGCAAGGGATCTGAACCACGAGGGTGACAAAAGCGTCAGGTTATTTCTCGATAAATCCAAGCGCTCCAGCCGTACGAGGGAATGAAAGGCCTCCTCCTCAATTGTCTGAATTTGATTAGACTGCAGCAAAAGCGTTTGGAGATTGACTGCAGATTTCAGGTCTGCTGCTCTCACGCGCTCTATTCTGTTGAAAGAGAGATCGAGTTCCAGGAGATCACCTCCAGCACCAGGTGGAACAGCAGCTAAAGCCTTTGAAGAACAGTTCCAAAAAGCAGAGGCAGCATCAAACGGGCAGTCCTCTTGGGCAGAAAGGCTCACAGCTCCAGCCAGAGAGACCAGCCACAAGCTCCACACTGGTTCAGTCATGATTATCTAAAATAATTTGTTTTTTTTAAAACATAATAAAGTCATTATCTTCAGTAAAGCAATATATTGTGCAATCAATAATTTAATCTCTTTTGCTAAAGTGTCTACTAGATGTTTAACTGCTGTACCTGAAGATGTGCACTCAGAAAGAAGTACATCTATCATCAGAAGTCTTCTGTCTGTGCCTTTAGGGCACGTTTACATGTTTCATAGCTCATTAATTCACTAATATTATACGAAACCAAATAATCCATTGTGTATGAGAGGGTGAAGGCTGTAGATTTAGAGTAATATTGAAAGTTTCTAAATACTGTAACAATACTTTTTTTACATACTATAGAAACAGGATTTTTATACTGTGTATTTCAGAGACTTAGAACCTCTTACTGAGTTCTCTTAGTCAGAGAATAATGTTTTTATATATGGTTTGTCCAGTTACAATTGCTTGAAGAAAGACACATTTGCTGAAATCTTATTGCTCCGTTACACCAACAGAAGACAAACACTAAGACACTTCTTCTAATGAGTTGCCACTGGGACTCTCAGTAGCATGTGCACGTACTAGATTGGCATAGAGTAGAGAATCCTTTTGGGGACTCATTTATTTCCAGCCGGAAGGCACTGGACATTATGCCTTTTGCCTTCTGCATGTGTAGCAAAGCGACAGGAGTTCAACCATTGCTCTTTGGAAGCAAGTCTGCAGTAGGAACCCAGTAGAACCTAGAAACAGAAAACCAACAACTCAAACCAAGGCATGGGCTAGAATTTTTCAGTATGGCATGCCATTTTTCTATTTCGAAGGCGAAAAACGGGATTTTAAAAGGGCATTCCATACAAACTTTTCCTCAGCTGTGAATGAAAATGGCAGTATGCACCCCATCACCTTCCTCTTCCTATTCTAGTAGGTCAACCTTCCTTCTTTCTCACATCTGCTAGACAATTTCTCTTCTTGATTCTCACAATTAGTATGAAAATTAGCAACTGTTTCACAAGTTGGTGGGCGCAAGTGAGGGGCTCCACAGGTTTAGGACTACACAAAAATCCTTTCTTTTGGAAACCTAAGGGATCCAACTTGTGAGCCATTTTAAAACAGTTTATTTTAAAATCTGCCCTCTCAGCCCATTCGGGTGCTCTGTCCTAATTCACTTGGCAGAACGAGGCGGAAACAAGAAGGGGGAAGTCCCGCTCTTCGTTTCTGGGCCCTGCCTGCACTTTGGCATTCCTGCGATGCAGAACCGAGATCTTGACCCAGTCCGGTCCATCTAGCTGGGGCCGTCCCAGCTAGAACATGCCGGGTCTAGGCAACTGCGCGGCGGCGGCTCCGTTCCGCCCACAGAGGACTCTTGGTCTACTTTGCTCGTGCGAAGTGGCAACTCTTGAAACAGGTACCAGTGGCGCCCTGAACCCACAAGGAACGACACAAGCCCGAAGCAGGCGTGTTCTAACTTAGGTGTGGGGCTAAAACGGGGGACAGAATCACGCGTGAATGCGACACACGCAGCCTGAGAAGCGTTTCTGGAAGACTCGACAAGAGCAGGAAAAGAATAGGCACCACATACACTACATACCCACCGGCAATGGCTGCGGAATCTCTCCCGAGGGGACCGAGCTGCCCTCCCGCTAGGAGAGACGGGCTCCAGATCTTGTAAAGCCCGCTTACTCGGAACTCTGCCGAGTTTCAGAGGCTCAAGCTGAGGAAGCGAAAGTAGGAGGCACCTTGCCCAGAAGGGAGGACACTTGACTTGCCGGAATTTCCCTCACGGGCGCCCCACCCGACCGAGAAGGAAACGCGCGCCCCCCCCCGGCCCCACGGAGCGCCCGCGGTTTGGGTGGCGGTTGTTGGGGCGGCTTTTCCGCCGTTGGGCGAAGCGCCCTCGTCGCCCCTTCGAGGCTCGCGGCGCTAGAGTGGAAGCGGGGAGACTGGCCCGGTTTTCGTGGCGGCTCGAACTTGCGCGGCGCTTGGTTCCGCGTTCATTCGACTCCTCCAGAATCGCCCTCCACGCCTTTGCACCGGCGTGAAAGGAAATCGCCCGGCCACGCCGAAAGCGGAGGCACGGCTTCTCCCGGGCCCCAGCAATGGGGACCTCAGAATGGGAAAGGCACGGAATCAAAAGTGTATCTCAAGGCAACCGGCAGGCTCTGGAAGCTCTTTCGATCACAACTTGAGTTGCAATCACGCACGCACACCCAGAGCCTAAGAACATAATTGACTGCTTGAGTGGAGTTTTTTAATGGATTGCTGTGCCTTGCTGCTTTTGATGCGTTTTTGGGGCTGCTATTTATTTATTTTTTGCATGGTATTTATTTGATCCTCTTCTTTTTAGTATTTTTATCCGCACTGGTTTTAGCTTTAAATTTTGTCTTTAATGATGTAAGCTGCCTTGGGTTCATTTTAAAGGTGGGGTTAAAATGGTTTAAATAAATATTACAACAATACACCCATAAGAAAAAACACCTTCATCACCTTAATCACCCAATCTCCTGAAAAGGACAAACAGCAGATCCCACAGCTACAAATACTCAGCAATCTGTCACACTACACCAGAACACAGAATTCTAACTCCTGTCCTCTGAAGATGCCGACCATAGAGACTGGTGAAACGTTAGGAAGAAAAACCTCCAGAACAGTGCCAAACAGCGCGAAAAACCTACAATCACCATCAGATCCTGGCCGTGAAAGCTTTTGAGAGTACAGCTTTAGAAAGCCTTAATTTTTTGAGAAGTCCAAAACATGTGATCTATAAATATTCTTAAATCTATGAGCAAAGGTGTAACTACTCATGCTTAAAAATTTATTAAAACTGAAATCAGACAAATATATTTCAATTATAAGTTTTTAGCTTAAAAAGTTGCTAATATGATCTCAAATATTAGTTCCAGCCAAAAACACAAGATCTTACAGCCTTAAGAAGCATGTAAAAGAGTAAAGATCAATATGAGTAGAAATATATTTCTTTTAGAATATTTGAATACACATTAGAAGAACAAAACATATTTTCTACATGCTCACCCAGCCATCTGTCAGTTAAAAATCTATCGAGGAACATCCCTGATTTCTGTGAGTTGCCTCTGCCCTGCTGTGTATAGAAGCTGTTCCCCCCACCCCCCATCCCCTTATTGACTCAGTTTGGCTGAGTAGCACGGCTAATTTTGCTGGCTTCTGTCTGGCAACTTTCTTACATTACACCAGCCTATCTTCTATCTTTTTTCTGTCCTAGCCCAGCAGACTCGATGTATTTTCTCACTGCATCTACTCCAGTTGCTAACTCTATGCATTCTCTATGGGAGTTGCTATTGTTAAGGACCTAATATGTTCCATATTCTGCTACCTAGGCAGATTGTATGTGAGATTTGTAATTACTCTTTAGTGACCTCTAATGGACATTGAGTGGAGTGGGCCTGGCGTGCTCTGGTCCATGGGGTCACGAAGACGACTAAACAACAACAATAGACATTCAGTCCATTTTTACTTAAACTGTTACATCCCCCTTTTTTCACTTTCAGTGTTACATCTATTTGTCCTGAAGCAATCTCCATCGGATACTTACTTACTTACTTACTTACTTACTTACTTACTTACTTACTTACTTACTTACTTCCTTCACCTCACCTCACCTCCCCTCACCTTTCTTCTTAAGAAGGACTCAAGATGGCTTATATCATTAAAATACTAAAAACAGTATACAAATATCAAAAAGGGTAAAAGAAATACTAAAAGGATTAAAGAAATACCACCATAAAGGATGGTGAACAGAAACAACATCAAAACACATTCAAAGCGGTAAGGCATATCAATTCCAGGGTTATGTTTCTTATACCCGATACCATTCAAAACTTTATTTATGCAAGGTGGCTGGGCAACTTTAGTTCAAACCCTACTAAAATCTAAATCCCTCTCCACAGATACTTTCGTTTTTTCTGGGGTTGAAAGAATGTTGAGAGACTGGCTCTATAAATTGGATAACGACCAGGACCTGGCCTTAATTCACTCTTCTGGTTTCTCTCAATGGTACCATCTGTTGAAAAGAGACCACTCAATGGCACAATACCTACATATACTTACTTTTGCCTCCTTGAGAACTGCTTTCACAGAACTCCACTTCCAAACCATGCCAACCGCTATCTTAGATGGGAGGTATATGAATGTCCCTAAACATCTAAGGCTGTGCATCTGTGGAGCCGGTGAGATAGAGGATGTTCTCCATTATTTACTCTATTGTCAGCTATATCAGAACCCCCGAGAAAAGCTCCTGGGTAACATTTTGGCTGCTCTACAGGAGGGAAGCCCTCAGATAAAGGTGGTCAGGTTACTCTTGGACTGTGACCCTTATGTTACGTATAGAACAGCGCTATTCGTAAAAATGGCCAGAAATATTCGGGTTAATTTTCTGAAAGCCATTGCGATCAATTGTGTGGGGGATTCTCAGATATGAAGGGTCTCTTATTATTTTATATGTCTGCAATTTTATCATGATTTTAATTGACCATATCTGTATTTTAAACAATTGTGACGGCTTTTAGCTAATACAATAAACTTGAACTGAACTGAACACTTTCACGGGCCCCCTTCCACTTACAGTATTACTGAGCCAAGTAACCCTCATGTTGTAACTGTGCATTTGGATTTTTATCCCCCAGGTATAAAACTTCAGACTTATCCCTGTTAAATTTCATTCTGTTGTTTTCAGCTCAGTGCTCAAGCCTATCAAAATCTTCTTGAATTTTCTTCCTGTCTTCCAAGGTATTAGCTATTCCACCCAATTTTGTGTCATTTGCAACTTTTATTAGTATTCTCTGCACTCCCTCAGGTCAACAAGTACTGAGGTATCTCCAGACCTTGATTCCTGAGGAGGAGGGATCCATGACTGCAAGGCTTGGGTCATGCATAATGTCTAGTCCATAGCCGTGAAGATCGTGCCACATCCCCAGTTAGGATTTCCTTATGTTCTCCATTTCTACGAATTAATATGAATCAACATTCAACCTGTAGCACCACAGCAAGTCATTCGCTCACCAGGTGGTCTCCTTTATCTATAAAATAAGTTAAGATTGTCTGATATATTTAACAAATTTAATTTTAATCTCTTCCTCTATGTTTTAGCCCTCTGGAGAAAAGTAGAAGAGGGTTGGCAGGCTAAAAACCAAAACATATCTGTGACAACATTGTCTTGAGCAGTAAGACTTAAATCATAGGGCTCTTCTAAACATGTGGATAGATCACCATAAAATGCCAGCCACTTGATTGCCAGGCAGTGAGTCAGATTGATTGATTTATTTAATTTATTTATAATATTTTTACCTGGCCTTTCTCCTTGAAAAAGACCCAAGGTGGCTTACAACACTGAAAGACAATATTTAAAGTTGAAAGCAATGGGTATACAATGAGTGGTTAACACCATTACAAGACAAACAGCTAAGAACAATGAGTGTAAAGAAGCATCTTACATAATAAAAAGGCAATATTAAAGCTAAGATCAATAAGTATACAAATGTTTTTTTAACGCCTTTCTCCTTGAAAAAGACCCAAGGTGGCTTACAACACTGAAAGACAATATTTAAAGTTGAAAGCAATGGGTATACAATGAGTGGTTAACACCATTACAAGACAAACAGCTAAGAACAATGAGTGTAAAGAAGCATCTTACATAATAAAAAGGCAATATTAAAGCTAAGATCAATAAGTATACAAATGTTTTTTTTAACAAAAAACAATCAAATGCCACTCCGAGAAATGGAAAACACAAGTGGCACTAAAAATCCAGTCAAAGCAGTAATGCGTAGCAGTCTAACTGAAAATCACATTCAGGGAGCTAGTTACTGAGGGACGGCTTGCCTGAAGAGAAAAATCTTTACCTGCTTGTGGAAGGACAGCAAAGACGGGATGAGTCTGGCCTCGTGGGATGAGTTCCAAAGTCTGGAAGCAGCAACAGAAAAGGCTCTTGCCTGTGTCCCCATCAGATGTGCCTGTGAAGGTGGCGAGACTGAGAGAAAGGCCTCTCCTGATGAACTTAACACCTATGCCAGCTCATGTACTGGGAGACAGAGTCTTTGAGAAAGCTTGGACCCAGGCCATTTAGGGCTTTGTAAGTTAGGAGCAGCACTTTGAATGGTGCCCAGAAACTGATTTGCAGCCCGTGGAGCTGCCGTAACAGGGGGCTTATTTGATCCCTGTAACCAGCCCCAGTCTGCAATCTGGCTGCTGCATTTTGGACCCACTGAACTTACTAGCTGTGTGCCAATCAGTGCTGTGGTTTGCTACCTGCAGTTATTTCAAAGGTACTTTGGGGGGCAAACAGCGAACAGTGTAGCAGCAACTTTCCAGATGAAAAGTTCTAAGTGCCTCTTCCATGCCATTGTCTTTCTTGCCCAGAAATAACTTTTCTGCATGTGTTATCAAAGCAGCTGAGGCAAGGAGGGCAGCTACATATTTAGGCTTATGAATGCAGAAATTTCTGTGGACCAGCGGTCATGCTGAGCCGCACCATTGCCAGTGGCTTCTGAATGCAGGCTTATGAATGCAGAAATTTCTGTGGTCATGCTGCTGGGGAGGACACAGAGTTGTTTCCTGGCGCCAGGAAACAAAGGGCACCAGATTAGCCAGGTTGCATCTATGTTAAAGCATCTGGGGCTTTGGCCCAGGGAACCAAAATCTAGAGGCAAATCTCCTGGTGTATGTTAGGAAAATAAATGACAGCATCTCCACTTTCCTTTTCCTGATACCATACGCTTCCTTTTTTCTTTGGGGAGGGGGTCCCATATTCTTCTCCAGGACTGTGTTGTGTCCATACCTCAGGGCAGAGCAGACGGGTGATGGCAACATTCACCCTGAGTGCCAAAATTGTTTCTTATGGCCTTGCAGGTGAGGGAAGGCTACTGTAGTTCAATAGGCTGAGGTCGCATCCAAGACAGAGTTACCATAAAAAGGCATTGCTTTTGGAAAAAGAAGTCCATCTGATGAACATTTAACAAGCAGGGTATGTAGTTTGGTGGTTAGAGGAAACAGCCTCAGAAGAGGAACTTTGTCAAATGACAATATGAGATCACAAAAAGCAGAGTCTGTGCAAGTTGAAAAGAAAAGGAAGCTGTTGGAGGATTCGTCGTCCTACCTTCTGCCCAGAGTGACAGCAGGAAACAGGAAGCAGGGGTACCTCAGAGGAAGCAGCTGAGACACTTAGGTCTCCAAAGTCCCTGAACAGCAAGGAAGACACCAGGGAAAGTGTGAAGTGAATATGCCAAAGAATGTGAATTAATTTCAAGATGCAGAGGGGCTGCTCAGAGCAACTGCTTCACCTGATGTCCTATCAGTGAGTTTCTGACCAGGCAATAAAGCAATAAATGTCTCAGGAATGCTTTATTAGCTTACCGATTTTTAAATGTTTTCAAAATGATTTAAAATTGTATTTAATCATGATTTTAATCTTGATATATTTTTACTTTTTTTAATGTGATTTATAAGGTATTTTAAAACTCTTGATTGTTGTGAGCCACCTATCTGGAGAAAGGCATCAAGCAAGCAAGCAAGCAAACAAACAAACAAAGAAATCAGTAATGAACTAGCAAGCAAGCAAGCAAATAAACAAACAAATCAGTAATGAACAGTTAAGGTACTGCAAGGAGTTTAAAGTCAGTCCTATGTGCAATTAAACACTGGGTGTCAATCTTTAAAAAATACATCATGTGCAAAGTTTGGAAAATGAAGGACCAATTTTAGAGATTTTATAATATGGATGGACACATTTCTTAGTTTTAAGGGCTAATTTTCTGTGAACAAGTTTCTATGAACAATTGTGGATAAGCAATGAGGTGCCAGTGTGTGTTGGTCCTGCGTCTGGTCAAGCACTTAACTTGCATACACCTGCATTTTATTAATTAACCATAGAAATACAGTATATATAACCCCCCAGTAAACACCAATAGAATTTGGGCAAATGTATCGGCATACAGAAGCCCCTCTAGTAGCCCAGCTATATAGAAGACAAACATTCTGCACCAGATCTCAGATTCTGGCCACTACAAAGAATATTAAAGATCCTGCTGAAGAGGGAAAACAAAGCAGATTAAGCCCCAGGACTGGATTTTCTTCCACTTCCGTAAGAATAAGAAGTTTCTTTTTTAAAAAATATCCTGCCTTTTCTTTTTAGTCCAGTCATGTGTTAGCTGCCAACGAGTTGTTTTGGAAACTTTCAATAGACCTATCTAGAAACTCTTTCTTGTAATATAAATATGTACAAGTTCTACACAGCATAGTACAAAGACCTGAATGGTTTTTCGCTTTGTGATGTTTACACAAATGTATTCATGTATTGTAACTTGCATACTTCTACAACCCCTTAAAGAAATCTTTTCAATATTGACAAGCGAATCTATACCGACCTCGGAAGGATGGAAGGCTGAGTCAACCTTGAGCTGGCTACCTGGGATTTGAACCCCAGGTCGTGAGCACAGTTTTAATACAATCCCTTAAAGAAATCTTTTCAATATAGACAAGCCAATCTATGTCAGTTTCTAATAAGCATAGCTGTGCCACATCTTGACATCTTTTTCTTTTGTACAAGGTCTCTGGGCCTGGTGAGATCCTTCCTTCTAATTGGAAATGCCAGGGAATAGAATGACTCTAGGATATTCTGGATGGAAAGCAAGTTACCATTGAGCCTGACCCTTCTTATGCCAGAATACTAAGTCAATGTTAGCATTCTGGGCTTCGAGTAGAATTCCTATCCCATGGAATCATGAAAGTTGGCAGACATTTTAGAAATAGTTGGGTTGGCAGACATTTTAGAAATGATCAAGCCCAACCCTCTCTGATCAGCACAGAACTTACCTTGTGAGCTGCAACTTCAGCTTCTGTGATAGAGGACTATAAAATTCCAGAGTAAATTATCTTTAGTGAACTCACAGTCTCCACAGGCAGTCTGTTAACATTGCTGAAGAGCTGGCGGAAGAAACTTCAAAGCAGGAAAAACTTCTCGAAAGAAACTGAGCTGATCAAGCCCAACCCTCTCTGATCAGCACAGAACTTACCTTGTGAGCTGCAACTTCAGCTTCTGTGATAGAGGACTATAAAATTCCAGAGTAAATTATCTTTAGTGAACTCACAGTCTCCACAGGCAGTCTGTTAACATTGCTGAAGAGCTGGCGGAAGAAACTTCAAAGCAGGAAAAACTTCTCGAAAGAAACTGAGCAATAGCCAAAAGGTGCTTCCCTGCAATTTCTAATTGTTGATTCAGATCCTTTCCTCTGGAGCAACAGAGATGAAGTCTGTTCTGTCTTCTAGTAACAGCCTCATACTGTGAAGGCCTTCTTTTACATTACCAAAACAGGTTTATTACTAAAACAGCAGTACTTGTGATGTTGGCAAAACCAGTCTCTGTTTCAACATCCTTCTTTCTAGAAGAGCTGCAGTTGTCAGTGTAACAGAGAGCTCTTAGAAACTGGATGGTTACATTACCAAAACAGGTTTATTACTAAAACAGCACTACAGTACTTGTGATGTTGGCAAAACCAGTCTGTTTCAAAATCCTTTCTAGAAGAGCTGCAGTTGCCAATGTAACAGAGAGCTCTTGAAAACTGGATGAAGTGTGTCAATGCTTTATTATGCAACCCTCAGAACTCTGCCCCACCTACTTGTAGGCAGTTAATCCCGACAAAATAAGAGGTGTTCAATAAAAAGAATCCCAACATTGAATCTTTGGAACAGAGATTCTTACAAGGATCCATTTAGGCTACAGAAGACCCACAGGGATTATCATATATGAAGAGTGCTACCCTATGCACAGAATCACAGAACTGGAAGGGACCTCAAAAGATCATCTTCCCACAGACACTGGATATCCAGTACTGTAATATCCTTGATGAGCGGACACTCACTTCTTCTTGGAAATCTCTGATGAAGAGGCAGCAATCTGCTTGTAATTTGAGGCTGTGGTTCCAAGCTCTCTCCTCTAGGGCAGGGTACACAGGGTGACCTACGTATACTATGGGCCAGACATGATAGATTTATAGCTACAAATCTGTAATATAGTCACATTCTGTATCCAGACCTGGAGAAAGAAAGCTCACCCCTACAGATATTTCTGTCATGGGTGTGGAAAGCTCTGCTAGCCTTACCACAGCAGTGACAACAAGAAGGCACCTTTTGGGCTGCAGATATGGGAAGACTCTGGAGCTACTGGTCCAAAACACTCCTAATTCAGACATGTCCTTGGAACAGGAGGAAGGATGGTGAACTCAATTTTTGTTCCATTGTAACCAATGAGAAAGAAACTAACAAGCAGGTAGATCCCCCCCCCCCGCTTTGTTGGCAGGGTTTAGCAGTGGCTCCAACCTGAGGTCTGCAGATATTCTTGGACTGCAACTCTCAGAAATCCTGGCCAACAAAACTAGTAATTAAGTCTTCTGGGCGTCTTACTCAAAGAACATCTGGGGCCCCAAGGTTGGGAACCACTGTTTTAGCAGGTCCTCTGCTTCGGGTTCTCTCTCTTCTGTCCTCCACTGGATTGCCTTGTAAGAGGATCAAAGAGATTTGATAATTCCATTTGTAAAACTAAAAAGAAGTTGAATATTTTAATGTAGCAAAAAAGAATAAGAGCATGTGTGATCAGTCATGGCCTCCTTCCATGACAACATCAATAGTAGTTACAAAAATGAGCTCTTTTACTAAGCAAAAGATCTTTTAAAGGGCCAACTGGGCCATAAATATAAAAGTTAACTCTGGGCACCAGAGTGTTAATTTCATTCCATCAGTCCTCCGAACACTGCCACCATAGGGTCTTTACTGAGGGGTGTGGAGTCCTGCCTCTTCCAAAAGTTTTGAGAATCCTTCACAGATGAGCCAGGCATGACCATAGGGTCTTTACTGAGGGGTGTGGAGCCCTGCCTCTTCCAAAAGTTTTGAGAATCCCTCACAGATGAGCCACGCATGGTGTAATGATCACCCCTGGTATGAATATTCACCTGTGTATTTGCATGTTGAATCACCCCTGGTATGAATATTCAGCTGTGTATTTGCATGTTGGGAGGTGGAGCCAGAGAAACTAGAAGGGAGGGATGAGTCAGAGTCTAGAGAGTTCAGTCAGAAACAGAGAAGAGAGAGAGTTTGGAGTTTGAGGCAGAAAGAGTGTTTAAGGAGTGGTTAGGCAGAGTGTGAGCTGTATTAAGATAGAAGAGGTTAAAGTAAAATACTGAAGCTTTGTGTAGCTTTAAAGAATGTGCTTAAGAACTAGTCCTAAAACAACTTGTAATCTAAAACAGTACTTAAAACCTAAAACAACTTGTAATCTAAAACAGTACCTAAAACAGTACTGAATGGACCTCAGTCTTTCATAGGAAATATAGGTTGATAAAGAGATCAACTGGTGGCAGCGTGTTAAAGGGCGTGTTGGGATACCTTCGTGAGCTTTGGGTTTAGTGAAACAAGGGTAAACATCTAAAGGGCGTGTTGGGATACCTTCGTGAGCTCTGGGTTTAGTGAAACAAGCGGGGCCACAGGGTAAACATAACACATGGAGTCCCACAGGAGGGGTGCTGAGTGAAGGCTGTCAAGTGCCCCTAGAGGTGAATGGCAAAGGCTTCCTCCCCTGCCACTCCCATAAATCCCCACTGGTGGTGGGTGGCCCATAGGCACTCAGGCAGCTCATGTTGGGATACCTTCGTGAGCTCTGGGTTTAGTGAAACAAGCGGGGCCACAGGGTAAACATAACACATGGAGTCCCACAGGAGGGGTGCTGAGTGAAGGCTGTCAAGTGCCCCTAGAGGTGAATGGCAAAGGCTTCCTCCCCTGCCACTCCCATAAATCCCCACTGGTGGTGGGTGGCCCATAGGCACTCAGGCAGCTCATCTACTCAGGCAGCTCATCCAAAATCCACCTGGACTTGGCTGGCATCTCCTACATAATGGGGCCAACTGGAGAGGAAACTGACCTTCACAGGACTGGGGCCAGGGGGGAGGATGGTCATGAGGCCCCTACATCAATGCTGCTTGCCATGGGTGCTTCTGCCAGCAGCAAACCTGCAGATGTTTCTCAAGCCTCCAAGCATCTCAGAACTTCACCGGGTCCTGACAGACCCAGGCAGCTTCCTCCGATGGTATCAGCAGCTCTACCCAATATCCAGTTTCAGGATTACATCTGCAAACCATCTCCCAGGTGGCCCTCAACGTCAGTGGCAGCAGCATCTCCTGGGCCCCCAATCTATGGCATCCACCCAACAGTCCCCCTTTCTATCTCCCACTTCTCCTTAATTCCAAGTCCCACCATGACCAACCTGTGGCTTTGAGGACATCATTCACCTCCGCCTTGCCAGGGCTCCAGTCCACAGGTGCATTCTCTGAGAGGTGGATAGTCTACTCTCATGACTAAGAGGACCTTCACCAGCCACAGGTGAGCTGCAGGTAGGGAATCCAGCTAGCATTCTCTGAGAGGTGGATAGTCCACTCTCATGACTAAGAGGACCTTCACCAGTCCCACAGCATGAAATAATAGAATTTTATCTAATTTTGAACCCTGTAGAGGGAATAATATATTTCTTCCTCTTACACACTAGAACCTAAGTTTAGCCAAAGAAACAGGCTGCTCACAAAACTGATGATGGCCATTAACATAAAAGACTTTTTAAAAGAATTAAGAGAAAAACCATGGAACTCTTCTATGCTAGGCAGCTACGGCCCTACAGATGTTGGTGTTAAAGTCCTATTAGCCTTCACCAGCCCAGCCAATGATGAAAGATTAGGGGAGTTCTACACCAATAACTGCATGGACCCAAACTATGAAAGGCTGCCACAGAGGATAGGTCTCTCCATTTCTGGTGAGGAATTAAAACAAATGCAGAAGGAACCTGCATGTTCAGTGGTAGCATAACTTTGACTACAAGGCAGAGAACAACAGTGAACAAATTTCATTAATATATTCTGCTTGTGTATTTCCCAGAAGTATCTGTACACTCTGAGAAACAGAATGCTAGACTAAGTAGACTCTGTTTGGTTCTCCTTACACATTTCCTTATGCAGCATTTTTGTAGACATTTCTTTCATCCATCAGAAGAAGATGGTTACACTGTTTGAATCCATCTATTTTGCACTTCACTTTAATAACTGTTTGCCTTGCTTCATTTAGTGTCTTGATTCTGTGTTGGCTTCTGTTGCTGCTAGTGGTCCCATCCCTCATGAAGCTTTAGGGATAATATTGTATATAGTTTTTAAGTTTGTTCTTACAGTCATGTATTTATATACAGTATTATGAATGTTAACAACCCCAAATGGTCAGGAAAGTTAGAATGTAAGTTTGTGAAATAAACAGAGTCAAATAACCAGTGGCTGGAGAAATGTTTCTCCCAGAACAAGCAAGGCAGAATACCACCTCTGGTGTCTACAGTGATGGTTTCCATAAAACATACAGGCTGTTCACCTGTAGCTTATTATAGAACTACTGTTTTCAGAAAGCCGACGATCTAGATACTTCAGTAAAAAAAAAGTTTTATTTTCCATACAAAAGTGCCAAAATATCCACCAACATTGAATTCTAGTTCAACAACCAGCTTATTCTAGTAATCAAAACTGAAGCATCTTTATTTCACATTTTTTTGAAACCAATTTCCATTTCACACATTTCCACAATAACCCGAGTCCCTAGAAAGAGGGAAATTTGCATTCCGGTTGGCTGTTGATGTCCATATGTCTAAGTTCATATAGGCACGGAATGGGTTAAATCTCGGGTAGTACTCCTGTTTACAAATTACTGCCTGGTTTTCCACCTGGGCTGAATGCTGAGCGGTGGCATCGACTGGACAGCAGTTTTCGTAAATGTCACTCTGCGGAGCCCAAATGGAACCAAACAGTCCAGACATAGGCGACAAACTCCTGGTGCTTGAGAGGTAGGACTGAAAGGCAAGAGAAAATGTAATGGTGGATGTGATATTCATCTATAAATTTAGAAACAAGAACTCAAAATAGTAACAAGTATCCAGTAGTGTAGTTAAGGAAATAGTGTGACTTTTGGAAGAAATTGCTTCAAGTTGAGAAATCACTGTAGACATTACATGGAGCAAGCTGAGTCACACAACAGAGAATGTTTATGATGATTTCTTAAGTTGTTGCAATTTATTTCCAAAAGTAGTTACCAGTGTAACTACAGCGGAAGATGAAGATTTTGGAAAACTAAAGGGCTGGAAAGGAAAAAAATAGGAAGCAAAATTGCCATCTTTTCCTTTCTGTTTCACTTCTTCAAATTAATGGACTACATTAATGGACTACAGCTGAACCTGCTGTACCAAATGCATTGGGAACAGAAGCTGCAAGGACAAAGTTCACAAGGTGGACCTGCTGCATGTGCTCTGCCATTATACTACACTGACTCACGAGCAATTTTAGCCCCTGACCTCTAAAAACTAACATTGATAAAGCAATAGCAAAGAACCAAAGCAGAGAGAACATACCACGTTCAAGAAGTTAATTAATTAATCTGAATTGCCTTCTGAAATGTTTGTCAAACGAACTGTAACTAAACCATCCCACTTTTCTGCTTCTGTCAAAATGAGCAACAATTTCGAACCAGCTTTGGTTCTCTCTCTCTCTCTCTCCATACTCACTGTTGGGTTGACATAACTGGTGGGTTCCCAAGTTGGAGGAAGATTGGGTGCAGTGTTCCAAGTAGACTGACAATTGTGATCAATAAAAGCTGTATTCTGAACGTCTGCAGTGCATGGAAAGCCATTATGGTAGTTCATATTTTCTGTAGTTCAGGAAAAATAGAAGTTTCTGACATTAGCCAAGAACGTTTTTCATATTCATATTATTTTATTGCATCCTGGTTTGTAAAATTTAATTTTGAGATTCAATTGGGTAGGGAAGACAAAGCTCTGTTGAGAAAGAATCTGGGAGGGACATAATGTTATCTGCCGACAAGGTTCAAGGCGGCTGCCCAGGTCCACAGACTTAACAAGAAATTATAAGCTTTAGGTCGTGTGTGTCTCCTTCTCTAGTGAGTTATTAATGGGTTAAATAAGGCATTTACCTTCTGGAAAGGCATTGTAGTCATTCACCTCTACTGGACAATACATGCTGGTAAACTGGCCATCACAAGATGCATTCCAATCAATGAAGCTATAACAAAAGAAAGCAAAGCCTTGTTTCAGGAATATGTTAAGGAATAAAAGTCTGCTTTGTCTACACAGGTATATTTACTGTTATAGCATGGAATTGTTGTTTCACTGAAATCTGTAAGGAGGGAGGGGAACTTGCCCATTGTGTAATGAAGGGTTTTCCTGGATCAAACATGGCACATTATTCTCAAGGCTGTAGTTTATGCTATTTGACAGGCAGACAGGTTGAGATGGCCACAGATCTCCTGCTGGATAGAGACCTAGAAAGGCAAGTAGACGTGTCAACAACACAATCTATATTATGTTAAGAAGGTGTCCAGGATTATCATTATGATGAGTTTAATTCTATTTCTACCACAAGTTATATGTAGGATCAAATGAGGAACAAATTCAAATTTCTTCTTTACAGTTTCTATCATTTCTGCTTCACTGTTTTTTATCTGTTCTGTCTTAACTGGTAGTAAAAACACTTCCAGTTAATAGACTGCTAATGTACCATTGTTGGGATCTCACAATTCGCAAACGAAAGCCAAGAAATGAATACTGGACCTCTTTTAAAAAACAAACAAACAAAACACCATGATAGGAAACTAGGAATGGGGGAACATTTCTGTAAAATTACCCAAAAAAGTGCAAAACATTACTAAACTATGTAAACCTACACATTATGGAGTAGGTTCTTCAGTTTAGGCACCAGCATAGCAATTTGGAACACAGTCCAGTTTGCTTTTGATCAACTGACAGCTATTTAGTTTGGTTCTAAACAGAGCTGGTTAGAAGTATACATAGAATAAAAATAACTGATACCTGGGTCTATTTAAATCATTTACACAACAATATTAGATATTACCATTTTGTTAAACTCACCTTTATTTTTATCTGAATCTACAGTCACATCAGTAAAGCTGGGGCACAGATTCTCTGGACACTGGGTGACATTATTCACATCTCTGCTAAAGACAAACCAAAATTATCATTATCATTATCATTAGTTTTACTTAGGCATCCTTCAGTCTTGAAAGACTATGGTAACGTGCTCTGTATGGAGGACTTGGAACAGTGTCTAGTGTGGCTGAGGAGGCCGATCATCATCATCATCATGGTCTAGAGGGGCGGGGTATAAATAAATAAATAAATAAATAAATAAATAAATAAATAAATAAATCATCAGCATCATCATTATTGTTATTTTGAATGGTAAACTATAGTTGCACTAGTACATGGGATAGTAGCAGGCAATCCATATTTACTTCAGCTGAGAACCCACACCTACATGCATACATAGGAATGTAGAGTTAGGCAGATTTTTAAGCTTCTTATGAGAAATAAAAACTTCATTTAAGATCTCTAAAAATAAAAAGCCATAATGCTCTCTAAAATTAGCCACTAAAGAGAAGCAGAAGATAGTGGGACACATTGTCTCTAACCGGTAAAACATCAAAGACAATAGCACTAAATGCCGCAAATTTAGTTCTAACAATTCTGTTTCCCAGTTCATTTGCTTGGCAAGTTTGAAGCTGCATGATGGGGGGAAAACATTAAAAGGCTTTACCTGGTGTTGCAAATGTTGTGAGAAAGGTTTAAAGTGATGGGTGTTTCAGAAGAAAAGTCACTGCATGAAATATTTTCCCCTGTAGAAAACAATAATTACAAATGAGACATATTCATATTATGAGATACATTTCAGTAATTGCTGGGACTACACAGATGCAAACTATAAAAGAATTTATGAATAAAACCTTTCTCGGTTTTTCTAAAGAGACTGTGCAGCAGGGACTAGAGACTGGATACAGAGAGAGAAATAGCTGCAACGTACCCACCTCTGCCACCTTGCAACCATATAGCCCTGCCCACAACTGTGACAACTGTGTAACCTTTAATGTTCCCTAATAGTGAAGAATTCAAATAAAGCAAAACAGGATAACCCTGCCCGAACTAAGACAGAGAGCAAACAATAAATTTTCATAGCATACTTTTTCGAGTAGTGACACCCTTTTGTAATAGCCAACTAACCTGTCACCCAGCACCATATTTGCATTAAAAGACATTTTAAATGGGGTAAACTTATTTCTTCTCAGAAAGCATCCCCACCCCATGTCTGTTTGTCATGCATAACTTTAATATCTGCCTCCAAAAGGTCAACAAATAAATTATTTAACAAGGACAACACACATAAGGCAAGCCATGACATCCCTCCCCCAGAAAACACTTTGCAACCCCCAAGTTTGGAAACACTGGCATAAATTATGCTAGAAATAATTTGTAACAGGAAAACTTTAAAATGCCTTTTAATCTCATGCAGTAGGATGGGACATTTCCTCAAATCACTTGTTGCAGTATCAAGATACTGCAACAGTGTAGGCATTCTACAGCACTGTTACTTTAAAAGTTGTAAACAATATCTTCAGGTTTCAACCACTTGCAGGGCCTAAATCCAATTTTCGTCCAGATTTACCAATTTCTCATTGATTCATTGATTCTGCTTTAGTAGGGACTTGTTTTGTTTTTACAAATGAAAACAGTTAGGATTTTAAAAAAAACTGTCCTGATCAATCTTCCATTTGCTAGCCAGAGAAGAGAATCTTCCACTAGCATAGTAATACACAATTACCTAATACAGCTGTTAGCTAAGCAGTGATCACTGTCTAAACAGCTGCTTAAAGATGCTTGGGCATCACCATCATGGCAGTTCAATTCTAGAAGCACCAAGAATGTAAGCTGCTTGCGCTATTGTTTGTTGCACAAGCAGTTTTACACCATGAGATCCTGGACTAAAAATATGTCAGGAAGTGATTGGGAATTTATCTCCTCCATTGAGACTCCTCTTAAATTGAGCTTCATCTAGCTTTTTTCTTTTGGGGAATACAAATATCTCATTCCATGTACTAATCATGTAATCTTTAATACAGTTATCACTAGAAGAGATCTGACAGAGATGGAGGGCTAAATAAAATAACTTTGAGACTTTGAAGATCCTTTGCTGAAAAATATTTTATATTGATTAGCCTCTTGTGCAGAACTCTTGGAATTTTAGGCTTTAAATAATAGCAGAAATGCAACACACACACAGAGAGAGAGAGAGAGAGAGAGAGAGAGAGAGATGTATCTACAACCCTTACTAGAAGGAAGGAAGTGTCTGCTTGGAATCCCAGGTTTCTTATCTCCATCAGAACTGCTGGTGCTGCTCCAGCTGCCCCAGCTGCCTCGACTGGCGCGCACGCCCCCTGATGAGCTTCCACAGTCTGAACTTGAATCTGAGCAAAACCTTTCCAGGCACTTCTTCTTAGGCCATTGATAGAAAGCTTCTAGTAGAGTGGGGAAATTGTCAAATAAAATTAAAACCTCATGATTTTTGTCAATTTATTCTTGCCAACAGGGGAACAAATGATTGCCAAGAAACTGATAATCTTTTATAGATCAGATTTTGTTCAGTGGAAAGACTGCCAACCAAATTTAGCACATACATTCATAACAGAGAGGACATGACATAACTCACTTCTAAATTTATTCATCAGTGAGCTTCAGAAGCTCAATAGCAAGATTGACTTCTTATCTGAAGTTTGGACTCCACAATTCCTTCTCCACATATTATTTTCTTCTGGTTTACTTTTGACTACATACCTGTTTCCTTCTGTGTAGACAAGCCGGCTTTCTCGTCTCCTTTACAAATTTCCCCACTGCCCTGAGCACACCAGTTTCTTATACTGATGTTCGTTCTAAGTTCTGGTCTTTCAAATTCACTGTACACATGCTTCAGCTCTATCTGTTCAGGAACCCTACAACAGTCCCAGATGGAAAAAAAGATGTTATTTTCCTGTCTAGCTGTTGTGGCAGGCGCTTTTTAAATTAACTACCAGGAATCCATCTGTATGTTTCCTATTGGAAGAGCATGCCAAAGATTGCCACATACTGTTCAGCCCACCTGAAACTTCTTGTGAGAAAGGCAAGATAAAAATTTTAAGCAATTTTAAAAATAACAAAAACAATGTATTTGACTGAAAATTTGTCTCTTATGACCAGAAAATTGTGTGGGTTTTTTGTTTTGTTTTTTAAGCATATGGAAGGATTTTTAAAGTACAGTGGTGCCTCGCTTAACGGTTGCCTTGCTTAACGAGGAAATTGCTTGACGATTAGGTTTTGCAATTGCAAAACAATGGTTTAAATGGGAAAAATCGTCTTCACGATGATCAGTTCTCTGCCTCGGGAACCGATTTTTGCATTACGATGATCTAAAAACAGCTGATCATCGGGTTTCAAAATGACTGCCTGGTATACAAAATGGCCCCCCGCTATTTTCTAGGATGGATTCCTCGCTTTACAGGCACTGAAAACGGCCACCCCTATGGAGGATCTTCGCTGGACTGTGAGTTTTCAGCCCATTGGAACACATTGAAGGGTTTTCAATGCGTTTCAATGGGCTTTTTAAATTTCGCTTAACGAGGATTTTGCTCTACAGCGATTATCCTCATTAAGCGAGGCACCACTGCTCTGAAGGAATCCTGGTGGTAGAATTGTGATGGATTGATTTAATCATTATTCCCCTCCCTTTGTAGACCCACATATTCCCCTGTCCAAGAGGACAGAGGGTTGGGGGCTTTCTGGAATCCTGGGGCAGACAACAGTAGGGTTTCGGGGAAAATGGGGAACTGGCCAAACTGCAGTCTAATTACACTGACAGGACAATTCTGAACAGAAGTGAACTCTGGATCCCACTCCAACTCCCAATATAATTGGTGCATATACAGTATATATCTTGTAGTTCTTCAGCTTGAAGAATTTGCATATATAGGGGTAGTGCTACATACCGCACAGATATATTAATATGCTTCTTCTTATTTTTTCTGTTTGTCCTATGTCTGTTGTAACTTGTATTTGCAAAATGTCCTTCCTTTTTCTCCTGAGACCCAGTTTTCCGGAGAGCATTTTCTTGCTGAAAAAGAAAAGCAGGACTTTAGTAATACAACATATGAATGTGGTAACAACATCCCAGTAATCCATGGAATACTGAACTGTTGGGAATGAGGCAAGGTGCCTGATCTTTGACTTATCGGTAAATCTTCTATGGTTTCTTTATCATGATTTCTGACTCACCAACCTGACACATCTCTTCCCCAACAAGCCAAATAAACAGAATGAAGGGGGTGGGCAATTTATAGTCTTTCAGAGGTTGCAGGATTGCAACTTCCATTGGCTTTAGCTAACACAACCAATGGCAAATTATGATGGAATCTGCAGTCCAACAAAAATGGAGTGCCACAATCTGCCTGCACCTCCTCCTCTAGGACAAACGGTGAATTACCATGAAAGATCCATGGTTTGTTCAGCTATCCCTATTTGCAAGAGGAGCAGCTGGGCAGCACACATACCACCATGGCATCCTGTCTTACTTGATCTCCAACAAGCCAGAATTTTATGGAATTTTGGCTAGTTATGCTAAAGCTGAATCAACAGCTTCAAAATAAGTGTTGTGGAACATATTGGCATTATTAGCAAATAATAACCATCCAAAAACGGTCTTCTACACTAGTCTGTGCAGGTAAAAAAGTTTTCTGATACAGAATGAACAACATTAGCACATTCCTTTCTCCTGTCCTTCCATATTTCTTGATTTCTTCTTCATGTCACAGAGGCATAAAGAGCTGAAGTCCAGGGAACAATGGCCTACACAGTTTTGGCTGGACTGAAACCAGAAACATCTGTCATATTTATGACTAGCTTGGTTGTAAGTTCACCGAATATAAATCCTCCCTTTCTTCACTCCCCCCTCTTTTTCTTTCCACAGAAATTAGTACTGTACTTCAGTAAGGGCCAATGAGGTCTGAAAAGCTACTTTAGCTTTAGAGTAAAAAGCTACAGAGAAATCCAAGCATTCTAAAGCAATGGGAATAACAGATATGCTTCCGGCTACTAAATATAATCACACACAAACCAATTCAAAGGAAGTTCCACTGAGTTCAATGGAACTAATACTCTTGAACAGAACATAGGTCTGCATTCTAAGAAAAAAAAATTGTGCTCTCTAATTCATATTTAAGACATCTTTCTGGAGTTCTATTTGGAATTGCTGTACATAAGCTATATTTAAGTATTAAAAGGAGTAGTGTTCAAACCTCAGTAGAAGACAGTTCCTGTTTTCTGCAACACAGTGGTTCTTCCTTAGATGCTTTATCTGCTGTCTTCTCTGTGGAAGGCTTTGTATTAACCTGTTTTTTCAAACTCTCACAGTTTTCTGTTTCACTTCTGAGAGGCACTTGCTGGCCATTCCCTTAATGCAGAAAAGCACAGTACAGTACATGCTAAATTCAGGCAACAGGTTTCGGTATTGCATCCAGACTTAGTCAATACTTGCAGGAGACCAACTGAAATCAAAGCCTACACTAAACATAATTAAATCAACTAAATCTAGATCCAACCCATGACCACTTCTCAAACAGCACATAGTATCAGAGTTTTGCTTCCCTGACTCTTAAAAAAGCAAAGCATCAAATCTAGAAGCTAGCCATGGGATAAATCTTGTAGACTTGTTTTTTTATTTTTGTGTGCAACAACCCTAATGTCAATTTAAGGCCTCATGTCACCTATTTTTCAGACTACATGTTCCATATAGTTTTTACTATGCTGTTCTTCAATAATTAATTCCTAAAATTTGCAAATCAGCACACAAATAAACCTTCAGAAGTAAGCAGAAATAGAATTCTATGGCCAATTTACAATTATATAACAGACGTCACATAAATTGATGGCACGTTGCTGCTCATTAATGAATACCTGACAGCACCAAGGAACATAACCAGCATTTCATTAAATCAGTGGCAATTTGCTGCTAATACATAACATGATTTCTCTCACACAACTTAAAAAATTGACAATAGGATTCTGGCCACTGAGATGAACCCGAGAGTGGTCTTTCTCTGACAGAAGGCCATTTTCCATTGGAAGGAGTACTTCTAACAGCAGCAACGACAAAGAAGAAAACATTTGGATCTAATCCACTCATTGAAACTGGTGGGGGGAAAAATAAAATCCACTAGCATTTTACTCTGGTGTACAGATAAAATTCATATAAATTGAAGAATTGTTGATACATTATCTGTATCCCAATCTCAAATCTTTTGAAATCAATGGGTCTCAGCTACAATATTATGTACTCAGGGAGTGCACTTTCTCTACAATAATTCTGATGGCTATTTAATCTAATCAATATTGGATATCCAATTTATTATCATTTATAAATTAGATCATACATCATAGTCCTAAGGCTAACATGCTGTTTCATATGCAGTCTTCCTTTTACACGATATAATCTTGATGGCTTTTATAAATTTTTTTCATAACTTTCACAACTAACAAAAAATAATGTACATATTATGACTTCAGAAAGCAGCAGTTTTGCAGCTTTACCTGTGATGCCGTATTTGGTTAAGACAAAGGCATCCAGGCTCTTAAAATAAAGAAATGAATCAAAACAACAGTACATGTTATTGAAATAATAAAGCCAAATGATGTCTTATCAGTATTCTACTACCAGAATATGTTCTTTCCTATTATGCTTTGATGTGTCCAGAAAGGTTGTGACTAGCTAAGTGATCCTAAGTATGCAGCCTTATGGAGGCCTTCAGGATTACCTTCTAGGACCAGAGCAATGTTCACCTGGTCTACCATATGCACAAATCCAGGCACCAAGTGGTATCCTCTATTACTAGAACACACATCTTATAAGTAAGCTTACTCAAAGCAATCTCTCGATTAAAAAAGTTACCATTATTTTTCCTGGAAGCTTCTTGAAATTCTGATTGTTGCTGAGGTGAATGTCTTAGGAAGCGATTTTCAGACAGTTTCTTTGATGATTTCAAAGGAAATGGCTCAGATTCATTGAGCTCAGTTATATTTTCTGAAGTCTTAAGATTTGTTTCCTTAGGAAACATATTTGTTCGGAGACCCTCCTTCAAACTGCACTCTGAAGAAGGACTTTTCACTAGTGCTGCATTTTTCAATGCAATTTCGTCTTTATCTAGAAAGTTCCCTGGGTGTGTTAAATTCTTTTGCATGTTCACATTTATGCTATTTGCATATTTCAGGTTGAGCCAGCTTTCAGTAACAGTGCAAATGTCCTCCTTTGGTGTTGAAGTTTGATTTTCAGTTGTGTGGTTCTGTTTGTCCTCAGTAGTTAGAACTGTGCTGCTAGTTGGGGTGTTTGATTTTTGTTTGCCATAATATACAGAACACTTGTGTTTCTTCTGAGAATGACTGTACGTTGCTGGACTCCTCTTTGCAGCGTTCTGGCTACGGCTGGTGGCTGTGGCCACAGTGGGGGAGCCTTTACCTTTTCCTTTATCAGAAGAGCTGTAATTATCTGTAAAGGTTTTGCAACTGCTCCTAGATTTGAAAGAAAGTTCAGATATTTATTGCATAAAGATTACATTGTTGATTAATTATTTTTTTAAAGGACATGAAAACAGAAATCACAAAAAAGTCAAAATACTGCTTTTCCCCCCCTGGAAACTAACTTAACTTTTTAACTAAAAAAAAAAGTTATCAGGATTTTTTAACTTTTTTTGCTAGTACACTGATGAAACTGGCTTCCATGAGAACTCTCATGCTTACTTGCCTTGAGTCTTTTACTGCATTCTCTCCATTCCTACCAACATGAATCTAATTCAAGCTTCTGGTGCTGGGATAGTTTACATATTTGCATGATACTTCCTAGGAGCTGTTGTTGGGTTTTTAACAAACCACTTCCAAGACCTAAACAGCACCAACACCATGTTACACAAAAGCCTAATTCCAGCTGCCAGTCCCAACCAGAAAGAACCACTGAATTCGTTGCCAAACACTAAATCAACACTTATGCAAATCTCACTCATTCAGCGGTTCTACCTAAATTAGGACCATAACTGTCAGAGCATCAAAGCATCAAGAGTCTTGCACAAACATGTAAGGGTTCATTACTTGTAAGATTCAGAGCTGATGATATCCACAGAATTGTTGTTTTGCAGCGCGGAAGGATTTGGATTTGGCCTCTGCCGTGACTTCATGAATTCTGTTAGAATGTACTGTGCTTGTTGAAAAGCTATAAGAATCACACCAAGGAGAGACAAACTGCAAAGTAGAAAAAACATTTGTAGCAAAAATAAGCAGACACGTACTCCTTAAGGAAAATAAAGCTGGAGTCATGCTCAGTATGTTAAAGGAATCATCCAACAACAATACAAAGAACTTCCAGTTAAGTGGTGATACGTGACCATTCTTAAAATTGTTAGAGTCAACATTTGTATGAGGAGGGACTGGCTCC